TGTATCATATAAGCGTATATGGTTTTCCTGTTTAACCATTATTAGTACATTTTACATACTTAATCTGGTTTACATCTTTCGTTACTCAAAATGCTTGATTAGCCTTCTTTTGAACGAAAGACCTCGTTCTTACGGGATTAGATGTGGGAGAAATATTACTACATATTGTTGGTAGGATTGTAGAGAAAAAAAAAGGCAACCGTGTTGGCTTCGTAGCGGTTTATTTCGTGTTCACCTGTAACATAATTTCGTATTTTAAATCACCATAAACAGTCTTTTTTTCGACTAATATTTTGTGATTGTCGTTTTGTTTTCCTTGGCGACTACAGTAGAAACGGTATTATCATTCGTACTACATTACAGCAACCATTTTGATATGTTTGTCTGTAAAAAGAAATGCTTCATATTCTACCTCGGCCCTGGCCAGGTGGTTCGGGCACTCGACTCGCAATCTGAGAGTCGCGGGTTCGAATCCCCGCCCCACCAGACGTGCTCGCCCTTTCAGCCGTTATAATGTGACGGTCAATTCGTTGGTAAAAAGAGTAGCCCAAGAGTTGGCGGTGGGTAGTAATGACTAGCTGCCTTCCCTCTAGTCTTACACTGCTAAATTAGGGACGGCTAGCCCTCGTGTAGCTTTGGGCGGAATTCAAAAAGGCAGACAGACAGACAGTACAGTGAAAGTTAACAACAAACGAAGAGTAAATGGAATGAAAAAGCCAGCATAAAACTACCTTTCTTTCCGAGTTATTCTAATGATTTTTCTTTTATTCATGTGCACCTTAAAAAGGTATAGCTTCAAGGTTGAACCCACACGTTCAAGGATGTAAATAACCCTGTATCTTTGGCAAAAATGTAGATAGAGCTTGTCTGCCTAATTATTGTTTTGAAGACCCATTAATTGTTAAAATATCGTTCTGTACTATGCCTTTTTTTTTCGAAGTATCACTTTCAACGTACAAGGTTTAGAAACACGGCACTTGTTTTATTTCAAGTGTTACTGTCTCCAAGGGAGGGAAAAAGTAACCATACGGTAATTTAACTGTGAATTACGTTATTCTGTATTACTGAATTTGACTTTATGAATATAGTATCTTACTGTTTTATCACACAAATGTTCTAAACACGTAAAGCTAATCATTTTTTTTTCAGGTTTCCAAAGAAACATGCTTTTAGTTCAACGTTTAGCTGGATTTTCGGTGGGTACGACACCTAGAATAATGAATGCACCCCAAGGAACAGTGTCACAAATGACATCAGCATTGATATTCAAAAATTAAACCACGTCAGACAAACATAACAGTGGTAAAAAAAACAATAACAAAGTTTAAACATTGTGGCACCGGATATTAACACAATATCCTGTCAACACAACTCAAAGGGACCGCACAACGAGGGTTGCCATGGTAGCTTGTTTGCTGTCAGAAACTTGTAATATCAAAAAGCGCGAAAGCTCGAGTAAAATCGTATTAATAAAAAAAAAATTGGACTGAAACTCATTACAAAAATGTTGTCTCACATGAATTATATATATATATTTGACACTTGTGCCATCAAATGAACTTGTGTACAACGTGGTAAGAACGAACACTTCCTATCAATTGTTTATATGGTAACCAAAGAAGCGTGTGTCCCAGAACGTCTCGTGCCACCGGCCAACCACGGTGGAGGTTTCGTGATGATATGAAAAGCTTTTTATTGGAAATACAAATTGACAGCACATGATTACTTAAACTTAATTGCGGACAAGGTTTACCCTATGATGAATATTTTATTTCCAAATGCTCTTTTTCAGAAAGACGACCAGTTTATCTAACTGAAGTAGCTAAAGATCCGTTCAAAGAGCAGAGAGAAGAGTTTGGACATAGCACAGAAACTGGTCAACGTAGTTACGAAATTTATATCTTATCGAGCCTCTGTGGTCAGTTCTTAAGGTCAATGCCAACTAGAAGCTTTGACCTTGTTTCATCAATTCCAACTTTTGCAAATGATGTATTATCTACTCAATATGCCCCCCCCCCCAGTGGCACAGCGGCATGTCTGCGGACTTACAACATTAGAAACCGGGTTTCGATACCCGTGGTGGGCAGAGCACAGATAGCCCATTGTGCAGCTTTGTGCTTAACTTCAAACAAACACAAAAACTGCTCAATATTGGAAATTAACAGGGTTTCCATTATTTTGTCCAATTCTCATAGATACGCATATACTTCTCTTAAGAGAATGAAAACGTTTCACAAACAGAACTTAGCAAAGCAACCGGTTTTTTGTTTTGTTTTTGTGCCAATGCAAAATATAAACGTACACGTTAAAATTTATAATAGGTTCGCAAACAAAAGGTTTGTTTGCTTCAGATTAAAAACAAACGTGGGTTACGTATGTTGAGAGTTAGAATAGTATCTTGTCTTCCAGAATGATCCAGATATAACATTTGCTGTTGTACATATTTTATTAAAGATTTCTGAAAAACTCAATACATTTCCTTACAGAAAGTTCGAATAAAACGATAACAATAATTGATTTACAATAACTAATTATAATCACCTTCATCAAAATTATTCAGTAATTAAATAGATTAGTATCATGTAGCTAACTGCCTTCCCATGTGCCACTCAAAGCACGTTTCCATATATAAAAAAAAAACACATTAAATACAAATATCTTAACCCTTACCAAATCCATACCTAAATGTTACATACCGAAATCCACAGAAATACGATCCCCAAACAAATGATGTCACGTATACTTTACACATACGTGGATCATCGTCATAAAAAAAACGTCCCTGTACCAGAAAGGTTAGTTATTGATGTCACTCACGTCAAAAGGCATCACAACTTTTTTCTCGTACGTTTCCAGCACGTGGAAGAGATAGTAGTTATTAAGAAAAAAGTGTGATCATGAAAAAAACAAAAAAAAACACCTTTCCCGACACCTTGTGATCAAATAAAAAGTTACATTTAGGCTATAAACGTTATTATGAACTTGAATAAACATCAAAATATTAACTAGCCTATGAATTGTGATTCAGAAGCTCAATTGACTCACATGAGACCAAATGTAATAGGGGGTGTTCTTAGAACATACCACTCTATATCATTGATATATGGGAAAAAAACTTCACCAGAGTTGTCAAATCCACTTACATTATGAGTGGATTTTCAAAGTTTCTGTGGGTATACAGCCCCCTCTGCCACTTAAGACAACCGGCCTAGGATCTCAAACATTATCTGTAGAGCTCACCAGGGGTCGTCTCAGTCTGCAAAAGAACTGTGATACGTCACACTTAAAACTTCTGGTAAAATTACCATTCAGGCATGATAAACAATTAAACATTTCCTGATAAGGCTTAGGCGTGCCAGCTAGAAAAAGCAACACTCGTTAACAATAACAACAATAAGAAGAAATAATGATCATCATATATTTCTTTGAGTACTTTTTTCTTGTTAATTTCATGATAAGATGTTATATTGTGTAGCTTTTCGTAACTGCATCAACAAGCCAAGAATTATACCTTCTGAACTTGTCAATGGCCCATAAGCCTATTCAGTTTATTTTCGTCCAAAGAACAATATATATATTGTTATATATATGGGGCCAGCCCATGTGATCAAACATTTTGATATATACAAATGTAACACAAGTAAAAATGAAAAATAAAAACGGGTGATACCAAGTTCCATAGACCAGCTAGGCAACTGTGATATCACCCATAACAGAACATGTATGATGAGTGGTAAAAAATGACAAGCTTGAAATGCTCTTGCACTCGAGGGTTAATACCGTCACCATTAAGGCCTAGTTTACAGCCCATATGGATGACAGAATTGATACACCAACCGTTGTGAGCGCTCAGTTTTCTTCATTATCCCCTTTTTGTAGTATTGGCGAATGGAGCGGCTTAGCTTGTCGTAATTCATGGCTGGTCTATTCTTTCGCTTGCCCCAAAGTCGGGCAACTCGCACAGAATCTTCGATTTTAAAAATGCTCTTGGGGCGATCCAACCAGCGGATACAGCTCCCATACATTTGAGGCTGACTTAAAAGCTCTTTTAGAAACTGCCACAGGTGAATATGTGAATGTGATCCAGGCCTGGTAGCACTGCCACTACAGCGATCTGTATCACAGCTATCTTCACTGGTTTCATCTGAAAATAACATCATCAACTCTTATAATCTAGCATTCGATGGAAAACCTGAACTACACAATAGTGCATCATTTGGTAAGTTTAATAACGCGTATCGCCTGGCTTAAAGGTTGGCAGTCAGTACTTAAAACAGTTGAAAATTCATCCTGTTTTTTATGTCATTTTGATTACACAGCCCACATCTGTGTGCTTGTAGATTTGTTTACACATTATAACATTCGTAAGATCAGGAAAATTAACCCACATCTGTGTGCTTATAGATTTGTTTACCCACTATCCCATTCGTAAGATAAGGAAAATTAGCCCACATCTGTGTGCTTGTAGATTTGTTTACGCACTATCCCATTCGTAAGATCAGGAAAATTAGCCCACATCTGTGTGCTTGTAGATTTGTTTACGCACTATCCCATTCGTAAGATCTGGAAAATTACCCACACCTGTGTGCTTGTAGATTTGTTTACACACTATCCCATTCGTAAGATAAGGAAAATTAACCCACATCTGTGTGCTTGTAGATTTGTTTACGCACTATCCCATTCGTAAGATCAGGAAGATTAGCCCACACCTGTGTGCTTGTAGATTCGTTTACACACTATCCCATTCGTAAGATCAGGAATATTAGGTCATGGTCGGTTTACACTATGCAATCTAACAGGATGACTATCTATTTCAAGTTGTTTCGTGTTTTATGAATCATTCAAATATCTACGCTAGTTTAACCTGAAATTTGTAAAACCTGCCCAACGAATTTAAAAACAACTTTTGACATGCTGAATTAAAAAGTTCATTTATAGTGAACCAGTTGGTTCCTCACGCTTCTAACTCGTGGTTGGTGTTTAGGGATGATATCGAATATAAGAAAACACAGAAGTCTCGACTTGGCTATACAAGGTGTTATTTAAAAAAAAGTTCCAGTGCTAAGTTACAACACTGGGCGCTTTATGTTGACATAGTAACAGAGCAAACCTATTGTTAGTGTTACCGCACGATTATAAAATAGACTGAAATATTACGGCTTTAGCTTACAGAGTTATTTTTTTAATCTGCAGACAGATGTGTTTTAGAAGAGTTTCAGCCAAAATAAACTGATTGAATTGGAAGTAGCTATGGAGTGTATATGCTGGTTTGGTTTTTGGTTTATTTGAAGTTAAGCGCAAAGCTACACAACAGGCTATCAGTGCTCTGGCCATCAGGGGTATCGAAACCCGGTTTCTAGCGTTGCAATATATGCTGGAGTAAAGGAACTTTGGTTTCTGTGCTCGAGGCTGTCATTAATTTTGACAGAAATAAAAACACCCAATACTCCAGATAGATGCAATCAATAACATTTTGAAATCCAGTAATTCCATGTTGTTAACTTTTATTTTATCTTACAGATATAGAAGTTATTAATCATATCACTGATATATAATACGTATTGTTTTTGAAATCATCGATCATACTACTGATAAAATACTATCTGCAGAACCCGTCATTTGGTGTTCCCTATACGCCGAGATTAATTTCGACCTAAAAGTTAAATAATGCCTGATGTACTTGAAATTATGCACAAACTAAGTGTTGTTTTCTATGCTGACGTGATCTTTACAAAGCAACCCTGACAAGGTTTTTCAACCCAACATGCTCTAATGTAGCCAGGCGACGCAGACTGTGCCTAGGGCAGTGCAACATTCCAATGAGAGGCCCTGCGCTGAAAGCCTGGGGCAGGCAGAAACTCAGCAAACACTACAAATTTGTACAGTTTCATCTAACGTACATGTGTGTACAGCTTTCAAGAACGTCAGAATAGCCTAAAATCTCCTCTACACTATTCCAAAGCATTACTTTATTATAAACATGCGTGGATTATTTAATCTTTATGGATACAGAAACTGTACCTTCGCTCTCCAGGTCACCTTTACTGAAGTCTCTGTTTGCAAGAGCTGGTAATCTCTCTGTTCCCATAACAACAGAACTATCAACAGTGTTGGTTCGGCATCTTTTAGATCCAGATCTAGCCGGAGCAGGAATGGGCCTGTTTGGAATCTTGTCAGCCACGGTGCTGGTGTTAGAGGGTGTTGTCGAGATCGAACTTGATGGCCATTGGTTCAACAGACCATTGATGTCGAGAAAACTGTCTTCGACTCGAAAAGGCGACATACTCAAATTCAGGCCGTTTCTTCGCAAGTTTGCAGCTAAGAGGAAAAAAAAAAGATACTAATAAAATAAATGCCTATCATATTATGTTACATTGTTGGTAATCTGAGCATGCACAGAAATAATATATAATTTAATTTGTAATAAATGCCTTTTCTGTAAATTTTGTCATATTTTGCGTACAATATTAGTTTTGTTTGTTTTGGATTTCGCGCAAAGCTACACGAGGGCTATCTGCGCTAGCCGTCCCTAATTTAGCAGTGTAAGACTAAAGGGAAGGCAGCTAGTCATCACCACCCACCGCCAACTCTTTTACCAACGAATAGTGGGATTGACCGTCACTTATAACGCCCCCACGACTGAAAGGGCGAGCATGTTTGGTGTGACGGGGATTCGAACCCGCGACCCTCAGATTGCGAGCCGGGCCCTTCAGTATTAGAGCACGCAGTATTAAATACACGAATAATCGTTAGTTTCATACAACGAAAAATAAGTTAATGCAAACAAAAAGGAAACGTTTTGGTAAAGATTTTCAGAATTGTTTCTAATGTTACAAAAAAGATAAACATTTGGGATATTTAAAAAAAAAAAAAGCCCACCACGGGTATCGAAACCCGGATTCTAGCGTTAAAAGTCCGCTGTGCCACTGGGTAGGAGGGGTGGGGGGCAACAGAAAAGACTATTTATATCGGTCCGTGTAGCCACCCCAGGGAACGTCTCGAGACAATTCAATAAATATATTTTTGTTTAACATTAATTTCAATCAAAATCAAGGGTGTTTTTCTAATGATTTTTTGTTTCCTTTTTTACGTAACACATACATATATATATATATATATATATTTGTTGAACAACATATTCTCATTTGTGTTCTCTTCGGAAACTCACTGTAGTCTTGTGATCTTTTAAGATGATTAGGCGGAAAGTATTCGTTTAGCCAAACACCTTGTTCACTGGTTAAAGTCACCTAAGCCACAAGCCGACAACTACACATTTACAACGCTGCAATCTGGTGGATAGAGCACAAACAATCCAAGACAACAACAGCATATAATTAAAATCAACAGAAAATATGTAGCGGGAAACGGTGGTTCACGTTTTATGCTTTCAGTTATTATATATATAAAGACAAAAGATGTTGTAATTTTCATATTTACCCATACAAAAAGGGTTAAGGCAACGTTATACCCATACAAAAAGGGTTAAGGCAACGTTTTACCCATACAAAAAGGGTTAAGGCAACGTTTTACCCATACAAAAAAGGACTACGTTAACGTTTTTACCCATACAAAAAGGACTACGTCAACGTTTTTACCCATACAAAAAGGACTACGTTAACGTTTATACCCATACAAAAAGGACTACGTTAACGTTTATACCCATACAAAAAGGATTACGTTAACGTTTTTACCCATACAAAAAATTACGTCAACGTTTTTACCCATACAAAAAAGACTACGTTAACGTTTTTACCTATACAAAAAGGATTGCGTTAAGGTTTATACCCATACAAAAAGGGTTAAGGCAACGTTTTTACCCATACAATAAGGGTTAAGGCAACGTTTTACCCATACAATAAAGATTACGTCAACGTTCTTACCCATACAAAAAAGGACTACGTTAACGTTTTTACCCATACAATAAGGGTTAAGGCAACGTTTTTACCCATACAAAAAGGACTACGTCAACGTTTTTACCCATACAAAAAGGACTACGTCAACGTTTTTCCCATACAAAAAGACTACGTCAACGTTTTTACCTATACAAAAAAGGACTACGTCAACGTTTTTACCCATACAAAAAGGACTACGTCAACGTTTTTACCCATACAAAAAGGACTACGTCAACGTTTTTGCCCATACAAAAAGGACTACGTCA